TCAGCACCTTTCCAGTCTCCACGTCCTTCACCACCCAGCCCTTGCTGTTAAGACATATCCCGAGGTTTATGCCCCACCTGGTCCTTGGCAACAGCTTGTGCTCAGGACCAACTGGCTCTCTATATTGGACCATACAGCCCCATACCCTCAGGAAGCTCACATCAGGCTTCCTCCTATAGAATGCCTCATGAGGGGTAAGGTCACCCATAGTACCTTTGGTAGGAAGTCTGTTTTTAATCCAACATGCCATGGCCAAAGCATCACCCCAAAACCTCAGTGGAAGCCCACTATCAGCAAGCATACTCCTCACGATGTTCAGCAGCGACCTGTTTACTCGCTCTGCAATGCTGTTGTGCTGTGGGGTATAAGGGACAGTCAGTTGCCTCTTGATACCTCTGGACTGACAAAACTCTGTGAAACTCCTGTCTGTAAATTCACCTCCATTGTCAGTCCTCAGCAGCTTTAGCATTCTTCCACTCTGGCATTCAGCTTCAGCCATCCAAGCCACAAAGCTTGGAAATACCTTTGTCTTATCTCTCATCTCTGTTACCCACGTATTCCGTGTACCAAGATCAGTGAATGTGATGAAATACCTGCTCCCATGCCTCGAAGCTACTCGCAGTGGTCTACAGACATCTGCAGCCACGACTTCGAGTGCCCCATAGGGTTCTCGAATCTCGTGCTTAGGATGTGGAATTTTGCTCGCTTTCCCTTGCATACACTCACTGCATGGCTTAGCAGACTCCTTACTCTGGTTCAGCTTCATCCCCATAACCATCTCCTTCGCCACCATCTCCTTAATCCACTCCTCACTAGCATGACCCATCCTCCTGTGCCACATGCCTAGCTCCACTCCTCCTGCCGCCTTTGCTATAGCCATTGACCGTAACTGTGGCTCTCCCTCTGGCCTCTCCTCTATCATGACAACCAACTCCTCCCTAGCCTTCTTGCCCTCCTCAGGTTCGGGCAGATAGCTAACTATTCCCTTCACCAACCCCTTCACTTGTAAGTGCATCTCGTACAAACCCTGACTGCGCACCCCGCCAGCTAGAATGTGCCAATCCGTTCCAAAGACCCACATCTTTCCCTTATCACTGAAGAACGTGCTTCCTGATAAGGGAAGAGTGCACGGCATGCTGCATGCCGTGCTCTGCTGCATGACGTTGGAAGAGAGCATGGTGTTCTTGTCGCTGGTGCCACCTGCATGCAGCAGAGCACAGCATGCAGTAGAGCATGGCATGCAGAAGAGCACGGCATGCAGAAGAGCACAGCATGCAGCAGAGCACAGCATGCAGCAGAGCATGCCATGCAGAAGAGCACGGCATGCAGAAGAGCACAGCATGCAGCAGAGCACAGCATGCAGCAGATCACAGCATGCAGCAGAGCACAGCATGCAGCAGAGCACAGCATGCAGCAGAGCATGGCATGCAGAAGAGCACAGCATGCAGCAGAGCAGAGCATGCAGCACAGCACAGCATGCAGCAGAGCACGGCATGCAGAAGAGCACAGCATGCACCAGAGCACGGCATGCAGCAGAGCACAGCATGCCGCAGAGCTCGGCATGCAGAAGAGCACAGCATGCAGCAGAGCACAGCATGCAGCAGAGCACAGCATGCAGCACAGCACGGCATGCAGCAGAGCACAGCATGCAGCACAGCACAGCATGCAGAACAGCACAGCATGCAGCAGAGCACAGCATGTAGCAGAGTACAGCATGCAGCAGAGCACGGCATGCAGAAGAGCAAAGCATGCAGCAGAGCACAGCATGCAGCAGAGCACTGCATGCAGCGGAGCACATCATGCAGCAGAGCATGGCATGGAGCAGAGCACCGCATGCAGCAGAGCACAGCATGCAGCAGAGCACAGCATGCAGCAGAGCACGGCATGCAGAAGAGCGAAGCATGCAGCAGAGCACAGCATGCAGCAGAGCACTGCATGCAGCAGAGCACAGCATGCAGCAGAGCATGGCATGGAGCAGAGCACCGCACGCAGCAGAGCACAGCATGCAGCAGAGCACAGCATGCAGCAGAGCACAGCATGCAGCAGAGCACCGCATGCAGCACAGCACAGCATGCAGCACAGCACAGCATGCAGCAGAGCACAGCATGCACCAGAGCACGGCATGCAGAAGAGCACAGCATGCAGCAGAGCTCAGCATGCAGCAGAGCACAGCATGCAGCAGAGCACAGCATGCAGCAGAGCACAGCATGCAGCAGAGCACAGCATGTAGCAGAGCACAGCATGCAAGAGAGCACGGCATGCAGCATAGCACAGCATGCAACAGAGCACGGCATGCAGAAGAGCACAGCGTGCAGCAGAGGACAGCATGCAGAAGAGCACAGCATGCAGCAGAGCACGGCATGCAGGAGAGCACAGCATGCAGCAGAGCAGAGCATGCAGCAGAGCACAGCATGCAGCAGAGCACAGCATGCAGCAGAGCACAGCATGCAGCAGAGCACGGCATGCAGCAGAGCACAGCATGCCGCAAAGCTCGGCATGCAGAAGAGCACAGCATGCAGCAGAGCACAGCATGCAGCAGAGCACAGCATGCAGCAGAGCACAGCATGCAGCACAGCACAGCATGCAGCACAGCACGGCATGCAGCACAGCACAGCATGCAGAACAGCACAGCATGCAGCAGAGCACAGCACGCAGCAGAGCACAGCATGCAGCAGAGCACGGCATGCAGAAGAGCAAAGCACGCAGCACAGCACAGCATGCAGCAGATCACAGCATGCAGCAGAGCACAGCATGCAGCAGAGCACGGCATGGAGCAGAGCACCACATGCAGCAGAGCACAGCATGCAGCAGAGCACAGCATGCAGCACAGCACGGCATGCAGCAGAGCACAGCATGCCGCAAAGCTCGGCATGCAGAAGAGCACAGCATGCAGCAGAGCACAGCATGCAGCAGAGCACAGCATGCATCAGAGCACAGCATGCAGCACAGCACAGCATGCAGCACAGCACGGCATGCAGCACAGCACAGCATGCAGAACAGCACAGCATGCAGCAGAGCACAGCACGCAGCAGAGCACAGCATGCAGCAGAGCACGGCATGCAGAAGAGCAAAGCACGCAGCACAGCACAGCATGCAGCAGATCACAGCATGCAGCAGAGCACAGCATGCAGCAGAGCACGGCATGGAGCAGAGCACCGCATGCAGCAGAGCACAGCATGCAGCAGAGCACAGCATGCAGCACAGCACGGCATGCAGCAGAGCACCGCATGCAGCAGAGCACAGCATGCAGCAGAGCACAGCATGCAGAAGAGCACAGCATGCAGCAGAGCACTGCATGCAGCAGAGCACAGCATGCAGCAGAGCACAGCATGCAGCAGAGCACCGCATGCAGCACAGCACAGCATGCAGCACAGCACAGCATGCAGCAGAGCACAGCATGCACCAGAGCACGGCATGCAGAAGAGCACAGCATGCAGCAGAGCTCAGCATGCAGCAGAGCACAGCATGCAGCAGAGCACAGCATGCAGCAGAGCACCGCATGCAGCACAGCACAGCATGCGGCAGAGCACAGCATGCAGCAGAGCACGGCATGCAGCAGAGCACGGCATGCAGCAGAGCACAGCATGCAGCAGAGCACAGCATGCAGCAGAGCACGGCATGCAGCAGAGCACAGCACAGTATGCACACAGCACGCGGCTTGTTGGCTTGCAAGTGCGAGCGAAACAAAGGCTTTTCTCTAGCGACTCAAGCTGCAAACGTGCCAAATAGCCAAATGTAGCTGGAGAAGAGCAAAGATACTGGGAGCAGAGGAGAAGGTACCTGGAGGGCAGGAGAAGGTACCTGGAGCGTAGGAGAAGGTACCTGGAGTGCAGGAGAAGGTACCTGGAGCGCAGGAGAAGGTACATGGAGCGCAGGAAAAGGTGCCATTCACAGTGGTGCCCTGCCTGAAGCCTGGAGGACACACACACGAGTACGACCCTGCCCCATCATTCACACACGCGCCCACCGCACATGGGTTGCGCTTGGCTAAAAAACACCCTGATATACAGCTTTTCAGGCCTTTTTGGCCTGACTTCTGAAGGCCTGGCACCAATGCTGCCAAACCAACCAATAAGGACCTGCCGCAGAGCCAACGGGGTGCAGCCTGAGGTGGAGTCTGGGACAGCGCATGTCAGAGTGGGCGGGAAAGCCAGCACGGAAATGCCTGTGGGGGGGGGGGGGGGCGTGCCTGTATCACGCGCTGGAAATTCGACACGTATCTGATCCTTGAAGGTTTCTGTACCAGGGTACTTTTAAACCCTGGTGGTTCAGTGTACACAAGTCCAGAAGCCAGTTTCTTGCAGGGTAAAAAATCCGGTACACTTCAACATCAGAGTAAAAACATTTCAAAGTCGGATTTCTAAGAGGACACAAAAAAACACCCGGAGAAAGCAGGGCAATCAGGGTGTTTCGCCCTGCTGTTGAGAGGCCTGGGGCAGCCCCACACCTTGGCTCTAGCCTCTGCACCCGGCCACATGCCCACATGGCACCCACACTGCCTGCGCTGCAGAATCCCAGCATATCACACACTGGCCCCCTCTAGACCCTCCAGCTGCTGCTGCTGCTGCTGCCCCTGCTCCTGCTCCTGTGAATACTCCTGACCCTCCTCTTGTCCTTTCTGATCCTGCTCCTGCTCCTGCTGCTGCTGCTCCAGTTGCTCTTGCGGCTCCTTGCCCTTGGCTCGCCTGAGCCCTGGCGAGTTCTGCTTGCACTCTTTCAGGGTTGTAGCTCATATGCAGCTCTGTAAGGCAGCAGCTCTGTAAGGCGTACATACAGGCTGTAAGGTGCACGTAGAATTCTACAATTCTGGCACACAGCCTAGACATTGCACATCTATTGCACATATCCCCTCACGCATGTTGCACTGCACACAGCCTAGACATTGCACATCTATTGCACATATCCCCTCACGCATGTTGCACTGCACATGAGCTATCCGGCACATAACCAGACATGCAAAACAGGATGCACGAGAGTTTCCAGATCAAGAAAGGAGGTCTGTTAAATTGGGCAAAAAAAGAGATACAGCGAGCTTGCATTGCAGTAGACATACTAAGTTTACAACACTGGTCATGTCAACCTATGATTTACAACAAGAACAGACTTCACACTTGATGTCAGGGAAGAAAGCATCTGAACCAGAAACTTACAGCTCTTCACTTCTTCCCACCTTTCCCCCCCTTGCCACCCTTGACCCCCTTCCCTCCCTTCCCGCCCTTCCCTCCCTTTCCGCCCTTCCCTCCCTTCCCGCTGCTCTTTGTGCTCTTCGTCTCTCCCTTCTGATTCGAAAGGCCAGATCCTCCCTGCTCCCCGCCAGATCCCCCCTGCTCCCCTTCCGATCCCCCCTGATCTCCACCAGGTCCCCCCTGATCTCCGCCAGGTCCCCCCTGATCTCCGCTCGATTCTCCCTGCTGTCCGCCTTGCTCCCCGCCAGCTCGACCTTGCTGTCCGCCAGCTCCCCCCTGCTTTCTTCCGCCAGGTCCCCCCTGCTTCTTTCCGCCAGATCCCTCCTGCTGCTCTCCGCCAGGACCCCCCTCCTCTCCGTCAGGTCCGCCCTGCTCTCCGCCAGGCTCTCCTTGCTCGCCCCCAGGGCCGTTCTGCTGCTTGCCGCCCGTTGTCTTGCCCCCCTTCCCGCCAGCTCCGCCTTGGCTGCCCCCGACTGGTGGGCCGCCATCCTGACCGTCCTGCTGGTTACCACCCTGCTGGTTACCACCCTTTCCTCCTTTTCCTCCCTTTCCTCCCTTTCCACCCTTGCCTCCCTTTCCGCCCTTGCCACCCTTGCCGCCCTTTCCGCCCTTTCCGCCTCCGCTCTTTCCGCCAGCCCCGCTGGTTGGCCCGCCGTCCTCTCCTCCCTGCTCTCCGCCCGGGCCGCCCTGGTCTCCGCCCGGGCCGCCCTGGTCTCCGCCCGGGCCGCCCTGGTCTCCGCCCGGGCCGCCCTGGTCTCCGCCCGGGCCGCCCTGGTCTCCGCCCGGACCGCCCTGGTCTCCGCCCGGACCGCCCTGGTCTCCGCCCGGGCCTCCCTGGTCTCCGCCCGAAACGCCCTGGTCTCCGCCCGAAACGCCCTGGTCTCCGCCAGTCTCTCCGCCAGTGTCTCCGCCAGGACCGCCCGTGTCTCCGCCAGGACCGCCCGTGTCTCCGCCCAGGTCCCCGCCCAGGTCTCCTCCCGTGTCACCGCCAACGTCTCCGCCGGTGTCTCCGCCCAGATCTCCGCCGGTGTCTCCGCCCAGATCTCCGCCGGTGTCTCCGCCCAGCCCCCCGCCCGTGTCTCCGCCCAGCCCCCCGCCCGTGTCTCCGCTCAGGTCCCCGCCCGTGTCTCCTCCCAGGCCACCGCTGGTGTCTCCGCCCAGGTCTCCGCCGGTGTCTCCATCCAGGTCTCCGCCAGTGGGGTCGACTTGGTCAACGGCCGCCAAGACTTTGACGGGCGAGATGTATGGGGAGCTGAGGAGCACGGTTGACGCGGGCTGGGTCAACGGGGTCTTGAGCAGCACGGTTGGGGTGGGTGAGGTGATCTGCTTGAGGAGCGCGACGGGGCCCGTCGAGAGGGCCTTGAGGGCGAGACTGCGCCGTGCGGAGAAGGGCCTCGCGGATGCTGCAGAGAGAGAAAAGCACCGGCAATGAAGAATTGGGTTAGCGGCGAAGTACATCACAAAAATGTGGATCTCTCCTATATTGTAGGTATAGTTGTTCGTATAGCAAGGCTACTCCGTAGCAGACGTACCTATGCCATACCTACTGTATACCTACTCCGTATTTCTGATCCTGGAATTTTGGGATGTAGAGTTGGCGAAGGAAAGAGAGAGAGAGAGAGATAGGAAAAGGGGTCTGCGAAGGAATGCCGTTGGAAGAGGAAGCGGAAACGAGCTGGTGGTCGGAACGCTGGTGTGCCACCAAGGGAATAAATGTGAGAAGGTGGCGGAAATGTTGGGAGGAAACGACGTGCGGGTTATACCAGGTGCGACGGAAGTTGACGCCACGAAAAGAGCAAGCAGAAGAAGCGGCAAGGACATGCCTCGCGTTGCGCAGCCCATTATGGCGTGGGAAGGATGATCTTCGCTTCCCGAGTCGTGGCACTTGTTAGGCGTCCGCGAGATCTAGCAGAAAGTGAAGGTGGCGGAGACAGAATGGGAGTTGCGTGCGCCAAAGAGACTCGATAGCCGTGTGAGAATGGGAAGAATTGTAGACAATTCGATGGAAATGATCGTGACGAGTAGGGGTTTTATAGGGGAATTGTAGGGCTTATACGCGGCTCGTAATGCAACGCAAACATTTCTGTTCCCCGAGAATGGGGGAGCACGCGCTTGGATAGGTTTTGGCGGGATGGCGTTTGGCGAGGTGTTTTCGCGGCAGGTCGAATCCGTGAGTTGCGCCTACCTCATGTTGCGGGGTGTGGAAATTACGACAATCGCGAAATTCACGACTCGTGTATCAAATGTCCTAGCGAAATACGACACCCTACCTGCGACGCCGAAATGCCTCACAAGCAGCCCAACATGCGCCACGGAGCATGACGGGGGGACGCATGGCCAGGCGCTGGCATGGGACCAATTCCCACCTCTCCCAAGTTGAAACTCGTTGACCGCGGCCGTTCGCCAATGACACGGGGAGGAAGCGGATGACACGGCAGGGCCTGGAATCGCAAGTGGCGCAGCAATGAGTGCAACAGCTCCTTGGGAAAAGAGCGCGTGTACCAACAATTTAAAAAGCCTAGAGTAAAAAAGCTAATGCATGGAATCCATTTTTAGGAGGCAACTGATTTAGAAAGATGCACTGCAATGCATACACACAAAAAAACATCAGACCTTGAACTAAAACAGTAGAAATCTAGCAACAAGAACTGGACATGGAAAATCTTGACTTGACTACCTCTCGTCCAGAAGCTTGGCAAACAGGGCAGCCCATGCCTTTAAATTGGTTTTGGGCCACTCATAGGAATCAGAGTGATTGAAAATAATTACCCAGCATGCTAGGGTAAACCTTTTTCCAAGTATGAAATAGCAGGGGACATTTTTCTTAGACTACACTAGTACATTTCAAAACACCCTACTTACTATCACTAGAAATTGCCTTCGCACTTCATGAATCATTAGGAATTAGCACATCCATCCTACAGTCAAGATTATATAAGCTATATATAATTGATAGTCTTGATAGTTGTTACTGAACCTTTCTCTATAGGGTACAATCCCCTTTTCGTACTCCTCTCTCTTCCTAATCGATGCTCTTCTTTCCTCGACATTCTCTCTCCCGCTCCTAGATCTATTTTCCTCACACCATTCCATGGCGGCATTCCTTGCATTCTAGCTAAGTTAGCGTCCTAAGTTTAAGAGGCTAGTATTATTTAGTTCTAAGTGTCAAACATCTGTATTTGTTATGTTTGTATAGACTGTATAGGGTTACCTCTTAGAGGGTACAACACTTAGGTATATTTTTGTGTACTCTCTCTTTACCATTAATTCAATTCCAATTCTGATATGGTATCACGCGTAAGTAGGATCCCCCCCACCTACCGCTTCCGCTCATGCCCCCTAGCGCCCCTCCCAGGCCCCGTTGCCCTCCTCCCAGGGCCCCTAGCGCCCCTCCCAGGCCCCGTCGCGCTCCTCCCAGGCCCCCTAGCGCCCCTCCTGGGCCCCGTCGCGCTCCTCCCAGGCCCCATAGCGCCCCGTCGCGCCCCTCCTGGGCCCCGTAGCGCCCCTCCTGGGCCTCGTCGCGCCCCTCCTGGGCTTCGTAGCGCCCCTCCTGGGCCCTCTAACGCCCCTCCCAGGCCCCGTCGCGCCCCTCCCAGGCCCCGTCGCGCTCCTCCCAGGCCCCCTAGCGCCCCTCCTGGGCCCCGTCGCGCTCCTCCCAGGCCCCGTAGCGCCCCGTCGCGCCCCTCCTGGGCCCCGTAGCGCCCCTCCTGGGCCTCGTCGCGCCCCTCCTGGGCTTCGTAGCGCCCCTCCTGGGCCCTGTAACGCCCCTCACAGGCCCCGTCGCGCCCCTCCCAGGCCCCGTCGCGCTCCTCCCAGGCCCCCTAGCGCCCCTCCTGGGCCCCGTCGCGCTCCTCCCAGGCCCCATAGCGCCCTGTCGCGCCCCTCCTGGGCCCCGTAGCGCCCCTCCTGGGCCTCGTCGCGCCCCTCCTGGGCTTCGTAGCGCCCCTCCTGGGCCCTGTAACCCCCCTCACAGGCCCCGTCGCGCCCCTCCCAGGCCCCGTCGCGCTCCTCCCAGGCCCCCTAGCGCCCCTCCTGGGCCCCGTCGCGCTCCTCCCAGGCCCCGTAGCGCCCCGTCGCGCCCCTCCTGGGCCCCGTAGCGCCCCTCCTGGGCCTCGTCGCGCCCCTCTTGGGCTTCGTAGCGCCCCTCCTGGGCCCTCTAACGCCCCTCCCAGGCCCCGTCGCACCCCTCCCAGGCCCCGTCGCGCTCCTCCCAGGCCCCCTAGCGCCCCTCCTGGGCCTCGTCGCGCTCCGCCCAGGCCCCGTAGCGCCCCTCCTGGGCTCAGTCGCGCCCCTCCTGAGCCCCGTCGCACCCTGACCGACCCCGTCGCAGCCGCCAGGCCCCGTCGCGCCCGCCCGGCGCCGTCGCAGCCGCCCGGCCCTGTCGTGCCCGCCCGGCGCCGTCGCGCCCGCCCGGCCCCATCGCAGCCGCCTGGCCCCGTCGCGCCCGCCCGGCCCCGTCGCAGCCGCCTGGCCCCGTCGCCCTTGCCTGGCCCCGTCGCAGCCGTCCGGCCCCGTCGCCCCCGCCCGGCCCCGTCCCACCCTGCCCGGCCCCGTCGCAGCCGCCCGCCCCGTCGCACCGGCCCGGCCCTGCCGCACTCGCCCGGCCCCGTCGCCCCAGCCCGGCCCCGTCGCGCCCGCTCGGCCCCGTCGCCCCGTCCCGGCCCTGTCGCACCAGCCCGGCCCCGTCGCGCCCGCCCGGCCCCGTCGGGCCAGCCCCGGCCCCGTCCTCCTCACTGGTACGGTTCCCCCCCACCCCGCCCTGCTCCGTGCCGCCCCCACCACACTGTACTGCCTGGCATCGCACTGCACCGCACTGTACCGCAGTGCACCGCACTGCACCGCACTGTACCGCACTGCACCGCACTGCACCGCACTGCACGGCACTGCACCGCACTGCACTGCCCTGCACTGCACTGGACTGTTCATGATGGCGGCGGAGCTTCGCTTCGACGCTGAAGGTCAGCCCCTAGAGTTCGAGGCGTGGCTTGCCGACCTCCGCCGTCAACTCACTGGCCAGCGGCAGGATGGTGAACTGCTTTCCGCACACCTTGACGGTACGCTCCCCTGCCCAGACCCCCCTGCTATTCTGCCCGCTGACCCCACACCCACTGAGCGTGAGGCTACTGCTGCCACTGCCCGTGCGCGCTCTGTCTGGCTTTCTCGCGATGCTGTTGCCCAGCTTGCCATTAGCAACGCCCTTCCCCCATCCAAGCGTCCTCGCTTTAGGTCCCTCACTACTGCTCAGGCATACTTAGATGCTGTGATCCAGCGCTATTCCACCCCTCCGGCTGCCTCGGTGGGTCGCCTGATCCTTCCGATGCTCTTTCCTGACCTAGCATCTTTCCCCACTGTCTCTGACCTCGCTGCCCACCTGCGCTCGATAGTTGAGACCTGGCGCGCTGCCTGCACTGACGCCCAGCTTAGAGCCCACCAGCCGCCCATTACCTCTACCCTCTACCTGCTTGCCACCCGCCTCCCTGACCGCCTTGCTGTCGCCCGCGACCGCTTTCTTAGCGTTCACCACGCAGACCTCACCCTCACTGACTTTGTAGACACCCTGACTGTCATAGAGACCCGTCACCGCTCCATTGCCCAGGCGAGCGGTGTCGTGCCGGTCCCTATCTTTCAGGGTTGTGCCCCTGCTCAGTGCACCTTCTCCGACGGCTCTGCCGCAGTGGCTGAGACTGCTGCTGCAGCGCAGGTCCGTTCGGGGAAGGGCCGCCGCCCCAAGGCTGGGCGCGGCGGAGGAGGCGGCGGGGGTGCGGGCGGGGGTAGTGGTGGGGTCGAGTCGCCTGGTGCTGGAGTGGGCGAGGGGACCCTGCCCAGTTCAGCTGAGTCGCCGCCCCTGCAGGTGCAGCAGCCGCAGCAGCCGCCGCAGTCGCAGCCTTCGCAGCAGCCGCAGCAGCCGTCGCAGACGCGGCAGACGAGTGTCCTCCCGCCAGGGTGGCCCGGCGCTGGCGGTGGCCGGGCGCGTGGTGGTGTGCCGCGTGGTGGCTCTGGCGGCGGGCGTTGTCAGTACCAGATCCAGACCGGTCCTCGCCACGGCTTCGTTTGCGGTAAGCTCAGTCACTCCACTCCCCGCTGTTTTCGTCGCCTGGACGACCTCTTTCGTCAGCGCTTCGGCCCGTCGCCAGACCTCCCGGACTGGCACAGTTTGCTTAGTCGTCAGATTCAGATTTTTGATATGGACATGGATGCCATTGTTTCTGCTCTGCATGTGATGCATGCTGATGACTCTAGTGTGCTTCCCGCTTATTACTCACTGTTGCCTAGTGTATGTGTGCCTAGCTTAGCCTCCCCTGCTGCGTCAGGCGTAGGATCCCCTGCTTTGTGTAGTCTTGGTGCTTCCGCCGTCGTTCCGTCGCCAGACCCCTCGGCTTCGCTTTCCTTCACCTTGGACTCTGGCGCCTCTCGGTGTTTCTTCCGCGACTCCACCACCCTGACGCCGCTTCCTGTTCCTGCTGCCGTTTCTCTTGCTGACCCCTCCGGCGGTCCGGTAGTCGCCCGCAGTTCCACCACCCTTCCCTGTCCGGCGGTTCCTTCGGGTTCTCTTACAGGTCTGCATATCCCCTCGTTCTCCAGGAACCTAGTTGGTGTCGGCTGCCTCCAGGACCTTGGCGTCACCACTACGTTCCCTGGTCACGAGCGGTATGCTGTCTGTACCGAGGCCGCCACTGGTGCCCCCCTGTCCACGTTCCCCCGGGACCCGGTGTCCGGCCTGTTCACTCTGGACACCGTGACCCCCCCGGCTGGAGCGCCCCCTCAGGTGGCTGCGTCTACCCAGGTTGCTGCTGCCTGCTCCTGTCGCTCCCTCACTCACCCGACCCTCCTGTGGCACCACCGCCTAGGTCACCCTGCGCTCCCGCGTCTGCGTCACATGTCTCAGCACGGTCTCGTCCTTGGTCTCCCAGGTTCGCTCCCCGCGTTTCCCTCCTCTCCAGCCCCACCTTGTACGCCTTGTGTCGAGGGTCGGCTTCGCCGTGCCCCTCACTCCTCCTC